ATGACGCCATCTTGGTTTCTCCCCACAAATGTTTTGTTCTTTTGTTAGATTGATGCATTTATCATTATGTAATGCCCTTTTTGTCTCTTATTATAGTTTTTGTTTTAAAGTCTATTTTGTTTGACATAACTATGGCTACTGCAGCTTTCATTTTCATTTGCATGAAATACCTTTTTCCATCTTTTCACTTTTTGTCTATTTGTGTCTTTCAAACTGAATGAGACTCTTATAGGCAGCATATGCACAGGTCTTGTTTTTGAATCCATCCAGTCACCCTGTCTTTTGATTGTAATATTTAGTTCATTTACACTTAAAGTAATTATTGATAGGTGTGTACTTATTGCCATTTTATTAATTGTTTTCTGGTTGCTTTTGTAGTTCTTTTCTGTTACTTTCTTCTTCTCTTACTCTCTTTTGTTTTTTAAAATCTTCACTCAAGGATATTTTCCCATTGATTTTCAGAGAGAGAAGAAGAGAGAGGGAAATACAGAGAGAAATATCGATGTGAGAGAACCATATTGATTGGGTTGCCTCCTGCACAAGCCCAAACTGGGTCTGGGCCAGGGAGGAGCCTTCAACTGTGGTCACCATTGACTGGTATGAAACCTGGGACCCTTCAGTCCAATGCTCTATCCACTGAGCAAAACCAGCTATAGCTCTTGCCCTCTTTTCTTGTACATTGATGACTTTCTTAATGTTTGTTTGGGTTCTTCTTCTTCATTTCTAACTGTATGTATTATAGAGTTTTCATTTTGGGCTGCCATAAGATTCATATATAACAAGCTATATTTATAGCAATGTTTTTTAAGTTGATTGTTGTTAAGTTCAAATGCATTTTAAAACTACATTTTTTACTCACCACCATGTTTATGGAAGGCAGCTATGCTCACCACTATACCACCAATGCTCCACCATGTTTATGTATTTGATATCATATTTTACATCTTCTCTTGTGTGTGTATCCCTTAATGTATTATGTGTTACACATGCTTTTACCACTTTTTTATGTTAATCTTCCTTCTAGCTCAGGGGTGGGCAAACTTTTTGACTCGAGGGCCACAATGGGTTCTTAAACTGGACCGGAGGGCCGGAACAAAAGCATGAATGGAGTGTTTGTGTGAACTAATATAAATTCAAAGTAAACATCATTACATAAAAGGGTACGGTCTTTTTTTTTTTTAGTTTTATTCATTTCAAACTGGCCGGAACCGGGCCCACGGGCCTGTAGTTTGCCCACGGCTGTTCTAGCTTTATAATTGGTTGATCTGCTACACTTACAACTGTTTGCCTTCATCAGTGCAACATTTTTCTTTCCAATATTTGTGTTTTTAGTTTTGGTATTTTCCATTTAAAGAA